ACAGTATATTATGTTTATTTTAGATACAACAAATAGGGGTCCAAACTACACTAATAAAGATGTAAGAGACTTGTTTAACAAGAAGTACAGTGAGTATTTTAATTTGAAATGTATGCTAAATTTGTTTTTATGAATTTTGCTATAAAAGCTAAGTGTGCAGGGTAAACTAGTAGTATCACATGGCATATTAACCCCATCGCTGCCCAGGCGGGCTGCAACTAGCCCTTTCGTAGATTTTACTCTGTCTAATGCCAGATGATTTTATTCATCAAGGGAAAGCTCCTAGTAGCAACGGGTTAATTGCTAAATAAATAACCAGTGACTGGGATTTTAGTATCCTACATTAAAAGTAATTAATAATTGAATCATCTATAATAAGTTTTCTTTAAATGTTATAATAGGTGAAGCATGTGGGAAACCTGGTTCTCGTGTGCCATACCTGAAAAAAGGTTTCACAGTAACTGGTCTTCCTAATGGAATAGAGTTTAGAAAGCCAAATAACTATGGGGAAGAGAAAGTTAAAGCAATAATGAATGCTCAAGAAGGCATAGTTTTTCAACTTGAACCAGAGCCTAGCATCACACATTCTGATGCTGCAGTAACTGAAGAAATCGACCCCCAACAAGCTGAACTTCAACATATTTTATGTAAGGTGGTTGACCAAGAAAAAGCTTTACAAGTGGTGACTGACCAAATTTGCATCGAGGAGAGTGATATGGAAGTCACAGATCTTGCACTCACTGACATGGAGTATAATCTGTTAACAACAAATTACAGAAATTGCTTCACAGAAGATGCATTGACTGCTTTGGCAGCCAATTATAAATCATTTTCTAATCATAAGGGATACATCCTGCCTGTCTATACTGACACAGAAGATGCTTATTGGCTGTTTTATTTTCCTGACAAGATGTCTGATCTTCTAAACCAGCATTCTCAACAACAAATTTGGGGATATTGGTTAAATGCAACTGAAGACAAGTTGACATTCAAGCTTATTATGTCAAAAAACAAAGTATCTATTGACACTTTGAATATTATTACAAAGGAGAATAATTCAAGTAGTTTCCTATTTTTACAAAAAACATTGTTGCTTAAGACTAAGACAACAGTAAATCTTCCTGAGCCATTCCATGACCAAATTTATGCTATTTTAAACGAGTATGGCTTCATATAGTTATATATTTATGATTCCATAAATGTAAATAAGTGTATCCTGTAGTATGGTCACCAGAGTTTGCTATAATACCTGTCACATTTCTTATCTGGTCAAATAATATTATATCCGTAAGTATAATTACTTATTTCTACATTTTGTAATTTTATGTTTCTATTTTAGCATTGGTATTTCTTCTTGGTATTTCATACAGTACAGTTGTTTTTTGTTTATTGGTTTGACTAACTACAACAAAAACAAACAAAATGAAATGAAATATTGTAGAAAAACTGATGACATGGTCGTGATGGTCAACAACTTGTGGCCAATTGGATATTGTAGGTTATCAAAATTAAATGTATTAGTGTTTGCCAACAACACCTGTTAATATTGGACCATAGTTGCACAGAATACTAATGCACCTATCAATGTTTAGCCCCATGGGGGGGGCATACCCAGGGGAATTGAACACTGAAGATGCCACGAGAGTGGGGACTTTGACCGTATGGAGGGGTTGCTATATGCTGCTTATCAAATTTTCGGAAAGCAAAAAGGTGCTTGAAAGGTGCCTAACTCTGCAGACTGGCCCTGGGGTGGGAAATTGACACTTTGTAGCAAAAAAAGTCAAGATCCCCTGGCCCAAGGTAAGACACCCCACCCTGGGGCTAAATTGATAGGTGCATAACCTGGTTGGGTCAATGACCTAAGTCCTAACTGAAGCTATCACGTACATCATTCATTTCAACAAATGTTTTAATTTATATTGTAGCTTACCTTGCGTCTCCGATGACGGCAACATATTAGTTTCAGACGAGTTCTCACTCTCGCCAGACATCACCCTACGAATTCCTTGATAATAATAAACATGGTTACTGTGTGCCCTTTTCACGTTTGGGAAACACTGTCGAATCCACATTCTCTCTGAGAAATTGTATTAAATATTACGTAATTCAGCCTTAGGGCTGCGATGTAATTTTCCTTTAATAATAATAATAATAATAATATTAATAATAATAATAATAATAATAATAATAATAATATTATTATTATTATTATTATTATTATTATTAATATGAATTCATATAATAATAATAATAATAATAATAATAATAATAATAATAATAATAATAATAATAATAATAATAATGATAATGATAATGATAATATGAATTCATATAATAATAATGATAATAATAATAATAATAATAATAATAATAATAATAATAATAATAATAATAATAATAATAATGATAATGATAATGATAATGATAATAATAATAATAATAATAATAATAATAATAATATTGCCGTTACTGCCGTTTTTGGTGTTATTAGCGTTATTGCCGTTATTAGCGTTATTGCCGTTAATATACCGTTATTGCCGTTATTGGTGTTATTGGCGTTATTGGTGTTATTAACGTTATTGGTGTTATTGGTGTTATTGGTGTTATTGGCGTTATTGGTGTTATTGGCGTTATTAATGTTATTGGTGCTATTGGTGCTATTGGTGCTATTGGTGTTATTGGCGTTATTGGCGTTATTGGTGTTATTTGCGTATATATTGGTGTTATAACGGCAATAACGCTAATAACGGCAATAACGCTAATAACAGCAATAACGCTAATAACGGCAATAACGGTAATAACGACAATAACGACAATAACGGCAATAACGGTAATAACGGCAATAACACCAATAACGGCAATAACGGTAATAACGCTAATAACGGCAATAACGCTAATAACGGCAATAACGGTAATAACGCTAATAACGGCGATAACGCTAATAACGGCAATAACGCTAATAACGGTAATCACATCAATAACGGTAATAACACCAATAATGCCAATAACAGTAATAACACCAATAACGGCAATAATGCTGATAACGGCAATAACGCTAATAACGGCAATAACGCTAATAACGGCAATAACGACAATAACGGCAATAACGCTAATAACGGCAATAACACCAATAACGGCAATAACGGTAATAACGGCAATAACACCAATAACGGCAATAACGGTAATAACGCCAATAACACCAATAACAGAATAACGCCAATAACGGTAATAACACCAATAACGCCAATAACAGTAATAACACCAATAACGGCAATAACGCTAATAACGGCAATAACGCTAATAACGGCAATAACGCTAATAACGGCAATAACGCTAATAACGGCAATAACGCTAATAACGGCAATAACGGTAATAACGGCAATAACACCAATAACACCAGTAAAGGCAATTACGCTAATAACGCCAGTAACGGTGATAACGCCAATAACACTAATAATGCGTAAAACAAAGCCAATTATAGACGCCTTTTACGTACGACACTGACGTCAGGAAGGTAAATTCAATACAAAACACATCAGCATTATTCTCATTTAATCACGTCATTTCGGTACTCTTATATGGAAATCAATTATGGAAATCGAGCCCATTTTCTTTTGCGGCCTGTTGCTGCTAAGTTTTGCGGCAATGCCGGGATCTTATCACCAGGGGCCTGGATGAAAGTTAGTGACGCATTATTAAAGGGTGCTTTGTGATGTTTTTAGGGTGCTGTATAATCTAACGGTATGTATAGCGCATATTTTGGAGCCTGTAATTGTCTAATTTTGTCTACTTTCCTGCTAGGTTTGCACGCGCTGCAAACCATGATAGCAAACATGTTGTTTGCGTTTGCTATAGGTTTGCGATACTGTATTCGCGGCCATTGCCACTTTTTCAACAGGGTTTGCAATAGTTGCAAATATGTTTTTTCGTCATGTGTAATATTCTTAATTGCATGCATATTACTATAAGAATCGGGCCTGCCGTTATCACAATACGGATAGTATTGATTGATGCCATTATTAAGGTGGGGAACTAGAGGAGATTCCTCTACATATTTTCTCTTTTTGGGACACCTCATTTCTCAATAACATATATTATTTAACCCACCCATCCTCACGCCCGACCATTTTCAATTACATAAAAACATGAACTGAAGATCAAAAGAGAGACAAGGTTCTTTAATTATTATATGCAAACATGTTACAAAGTGTGTAACATTTTTTATTGTGTGTAGCATGTTACAAAGTATCTATAAAATTGTTTTAGCCCCCGTTTTAATGACAATACCCCCCTTGATTGCCTTAAATATTTGGTTCCCCGCACCGCCACGCGATCTCGATGCTCCAGCTCCACCCGGCATGACTGGTCCCTAATCATGCAGTGGCTTCCTGACATTCTGCTCTACTATAGGTACAGTACCTGCTTTCCACACACAGCACCCTATATACACTTCGGTCTCTCTTACTTCCTTACATCATACGCCGCTTTTTTGTTCGTCATTAGGAAAACTACAGAAGTTGTGCACTAATAGCATTAACGAATTCGTGTCACCTTCATCTATTCAAAGCATGCCTTCACACTAACTTTCTAGACTGCAATATAGAATATAGAATAATAGAATATTATATAATATTATAGAATACTATAAAATGTAAAATGAGCACTATAATAGCTATCTTCAGCTTAATGACTGAATGTCGTTCCAAAGTAGATTTTCCAGGGTATCTGCAAGGCACCAACAGGGGGGATTGGCCCCACCAATTGTTACGGTACTATGGATGGGATTATGCAAAACTGCTGTAAAACAATATACAGATAGTGGGTGACTTGCAAAAATACTATCTATTACAATCAGAACAACACCGTATTAGGATTTAACTTTTATATACAGCAAATGAAATAATTTAAATATATGATTTCAATCTTTTATAAAGGAATAATATAAAATCTTTTATAAAGAATAATATAAAATGAAGCATAAAAATGACGTTGCCATTGTATTTAACCTCGTTTTCATGCTTTCTTTATATTATTCCCAGCTCATATCTTCGTCGTTCCAAATTGATTCCGAATCAGAGTCGGAACTATCGTACATTGAATAAACGTCGTCTTCGTCGTCGTTGTCTGCAGAATAGTATTCTGAAACGTCCAGTGTTCCTTCTTCACGAGCAATTTCATGTTCTAATAAAGTACTTTGGCATTTCCATTGCATACTAGGAATGGAACATTTCATCTCCTCGCGAATGTTATCTTTGAAAAGTTTACCCAACATGTGAAGTTTATTATCACATTCAAGGATTCGTGATTGAAAAATACAGTTGAGCCCTTTGGCATAAACCGAAGTTGCTTCTTCCTGCACTTCATTGCAACATGACTGGTAGGACATTTTCATTTTGAGGAAGTACTCTACCAACCGCACCATTTCTAGGTCGAGATACTCGATCTCTTCTTTGCATCGTTCAACGAAATTGTGTAAATCTATTGCACTTCTTTTAAATTCTAAGGGTATGTTGTCGTCTGATGGAGTTGTAACTCTTAAGTGGTGATAGCTAGGAGATTCTGGATCTTTCACATCATCGAAGTTTATCGGTTCTGGCATTCCATCTATTGGATCCTTCCAATAAGCCAATGCAGCGTTGTATTTGGCCACAGTAGCTTTTATTGCATTCGTCTTATTGGTGATCTGTTTAGACAGCTTAGCAGCAATTGCTTGACCGTCTATATCAACATAAAATCCATGTTCCATTTGGTTAATCAAAAGTTAGTTAAGGCAAAGACAACTGTGATCAACCAAACAAACAACCAATTCACGTATGTACAGACATCACATTTACGAGAAGAGGAAATCGTTATAACTGTAAAACGTGTTTCGTTTTTACCTGCATACTTCTTCTTGAGTGACATCAAGAACATTCTCTCCACTGCTAATGAGTACAGTCGCTCGTTTGTGCAGCTTCTTCTCTCTTCTTCAATGGAAATTGCAGCTTTGTTGAAATTTTCGTCTCCTAGTTTCCATCTTTGTAGCACTTTGTAACTTTTCTCCGTTGTGGCTACAACTTTCAATGTGCTAAATTACGAAAAAAAAATAAGACGAGATGGAATCGTCATCTCTCGTTACTTATATAGGAAGCTGTTTCCGACTTCCTTCCCAATCAAGTTAATTTATATTATAACAAATGACAGTTATGTATTTTAATGGTCTGTAATGTGGTTAAATATTGTTTGCAAAATAAAAGGAGAAGCAATGCAGGACTTCTATACGAAAAAGACATACTTTTTTATTTTCTTTACAATACTAGCAATGGCTTCGTGATTATCGTGATCGGAAGAGGCAACGGTTGATCTGTAAAATATTGATAGAAGGGAAAAATGCACATTGGAATATTATGTGTACCTGGGGAATGATAAATTTGTAGCTTGAAAAATTTACAACGTAAGGAATTACGTTCATACCTTAGTTCTTGTAGCTGACACAAACTTTGTACATATTTTGCTTGCCAGGATAAGGAAGATGATTTCGTCACTAACATTAAAAAATATTACAAATCAAGTATAAACATTAATTGTTCCAGTTTCAAGAAACTGCAGACTAGAATTCTAGAAAGTATTAATACAAGTGCATAAGCTCACTTTCTCGTTCTTTTAATAACGATTCTTCCTGCTTCTTCCAAGACTCGACAAGATCAGCATCGTAGGACACTAAAAATGAAGTGTTTAAGTATTGTACAATTAAATATCTACAATCTACATATTATCATTTTCAACTTTTAAACTAATTAATCATTCTCAGATGCCACAGCAATCACCTGTCAATTTTGAGAACATTTCTTCCAACTGTAACATGGCATTTACCATAAGTTTTTTAGTTTTTTCCATTTTCTTGGGCAATGATGTTCCTTTTTCAAAAAAGCATTTACTTAGATTTCTACTGCATTTGATAAAACACAATAGAATGGCTAGATGTTCTAAGTTACCAAATTGTTGAATGCGGTGTTCTGCATAATGTACCAGGGCATCTGTCAGCAAATCCACACGACGGCCTGCAGACATCTCTTTTGTCATGGATGAAAACCCTCTTAAGTAAGACCATAACCTTTCAATCCCTTCTCCATCAGTAAGACCATAACCTTTCTTACGTCTGGGGCCATAAGAAAACTACAGCAATAAATATTAAGTAAGCAAACATTTATGAACTTTAGACATATTAGCTAGTAACAGTACATTACTTTACCTGACATGACGATTTGTGACCATAGCAATGAAACACTGGGATAGCAAGATCTATTCTTTCAAGTATATCAACACGATGGTTTTTCTATGTAAGAATACATAATTATAACTTGGTCATCCATTCATACAGCATTACAATTGCAGGAAATGAAATTTTTACCTTCAAGTGTGATGACAATGTGCATCCAATGTCATACATAACTCGTACATCAATAGTGTCACCAGAATTACACAACATACGTTCTACTTCATAGACCGAATAGGATATCCTAAACAGAAACAAAATATGCAAAAAAAGAATAAGGAATAACAGAACTAACTATAAAGATGTCTATCGAAATGATACAGCTAGCATAATGACCTTTCTCCATGTTTAATACTGATAAATCCTTTCGGATATTCATGTCTACACACACGACCAAAAACACCTTTCTCGTCAAAAAGTTTGTTCTTTCCCTTAGATCTTAACATAGTGTCAATTTCTCCAGATTTGAACTGATTGCAATCCTTGGTAAAAAAAAACGAATTGTTATAACTTATTATGTGTTAACTTATTGCCAGCAATACCAATTGCAACCTGCTTTGTAACACATTTTACTCCAATGCTAGCCAATTTCACTCGTCACATACATGCAGGAAAGCTCCAGGTGCAAATGGGTTGAGAGGCTAGTTGCAGCTGGTGTGAAACAAAAAGATATGAAATGAAAGCACCAGTTCATGACAAGAAAGGCTTTAGCCTACTACTTACTGTTGGTGCTTCTTCAGCTTTTTTCCCATAATCATCAACAAACTTGTCCACACTTTCTTGCTCTGCAAAGAAGGTTCCACTATGTCGTGGGGGGAAAAGATTTACACCAGCAGATTTTTTCCTCACCAAGCCAAAACAGCCATCCATGGACTCAATAAGAATTCCACCATCATCAGTCTATAACAAGTACATAGCGAAAGTCAAGATAAGTTAGTGAAGGAGTGCAGTAGGTTTCACATGTTTTGGGTTGTTAGCCAAAGATTATGTCAATGTCACCAAGGCCTGCTCCAACCAGTCTCATTATATATTTTACTCTGTATAACACCAGACCAGTGACATAGACAGACCAACAACCTTGTCGTGTTAGCAAATATTTACTTGTTTTCAAATTGCGAAAACAATGAATTTCTAAAGAAATGAATAAATATACTGATGATTTGGAATTTGCATACAGTGTAGCATGTACTACACCACTGCACCAAATAATTTTACTCTAATTAACAACAATAAGTATAAAAATAAATAGACACAAGTTATTTTATTTTTGACTAATTCAGATACATTACTTACAACAATATAATAATACACAAAATTATGCTATTTATATGACTAATTGAATATAAGAAACATTTTATACCTGAGGGCATAAAGGGCACATCTTGTAATTAGTTTGCTCCCCATGATGTGACTTAATGGATTTTAAACAGTGATTATGGTACCTAAAGCAGGTAATGTACACAGTATTATGATTATGGAAGGTATCTATCCAAGCAGATAACTGCAATTAACCTGAAAGCCAGCCTAATAGCAAGAAGAGTATATTATAAACCCATTGCTGCCAGGCAGTCAGCAATGGGTTAAGAACACTAAGGGACAGGATAACCAACTCGTGGACAATAATTAACTTGTTGTTACCGTACTATGTTTTTTTCGTGCCACATTGTATTAAAAATAAAATACTTACCTGAATTCATCAAAAGTATCATCATTTAAAACTCTGTAAAGACTTTGAATCTAAAGGATAAAATATGAAAATTTATTGAGTGTGGTTACACTGTAAATAATAAATGTATACACTATCAAAATTATCAAATGATACTGTATTAAATGATAACTGCTTAATACCCATTTAGGATGTAGTGATGATTTGCCAAGGCCCATAGTGTCGCAGAATTTTGACAACGAGACATGACTTTCAAGAAGAAACTTTTCAGCAAGCAGCAAAAACTTAAAATGAAAGGCAACTAAAGGACGGACAGCAGATCCAGGCCATAACTGCAACTTAACCAGTGTTACGGTATCTGGTTCACAACTACAGAAACTGATGGATTTCTTGTGTTGGAAACCTACATAATAATGTAACACAAATGACATTATTAATGGTTTGAAAACAATCAATACATTATAGGTAGTGCAAATTGATTGAAGTGAAGAAAAGCTATCATTACGACAAAAGAGGTGTGCATGTGTGTATGGTGTATGTATGTATTAAAACTAAATCTATTATAAGCTTACCATGTTGATCAACACAAACAATATCCCTTGACTGAGAGGTGGGGCATGTTGTTTGATGCTTTAGTGAAATTTCCTTATGATTGATCATTAAAGGCCTAAAACATCCATCCTAAAGAAAGAACAAAGAAAAAGAAAAAATTAACAAAGCACAAAATAAATAAGCATGTCAGATATTGACATACTTTTACAATATTCAGAAGTCTTTATAGTAACAGATGAACAGGCCAATAAACAATAAGTGTCGAGACCTTATAAAATTGAATGTTTAGCTGAGTCTTTCATAATGTCTCCAAATATCTACAGTATCTCACTAATCTCAGATGGTGGTCAATATATTTATTAAATGATTTCATTATCATTTTATAAATTAAGAACATAATATCAACAAACCTTGTGTATTTCTGGAATGTGAAAGTAGTTTTTTTCGTGGTGCTCTATTTTAATGCAATCCAAGCAAAAGAACTGCCTTGGTCCACAGTCGAGACAACGACATACTGCTTCATTCGGGCATGCGAAACATGTCAGGCTGGAAATGACTTCCTCTTCAACTACAGCTTTGAGCAATTGTTCTCTCACTGCTTCCCATTTGTTAAATTCCTTTACTCTTCGCTGATGATGCTTTGACAATGTTTGTTGTTCAACCTGGCCTTGAGCTTCATTTCCTTCGGACAAAGCATTCTCGAACGTATCCGCAAAATATGTAGATTCTCCAATGGCATTATTGGCTAAATTCAAATTGTTGTCTTCTTCAGGTTCTTCTGAAACACTTGGGGTTGTCTGGACTGTAATAGACCTTACTATCTTCTTTCCACTTGTACATTGAGTTTTAACACGGACTTTGCTTGGTTTAAAGCGCTTCATCCGACGACTTTGCTCTGCCATATCAGTCCGCCATTTTGTGATATTGCTGTAGAGCTGATGCGCTGGCATAAATTAGCATCTAGGGATGCTTAGGTGATCACCTGTGTCACATATATCCGACGTTCTAAAATTTAGAACTCTCGCTATATGTGATTTAGAACACGAGGAACGGGTGGTGCAGTTCGTGTCTATTTACTAATCACGCAATGCGTTTGAATAATGCGAGGAATAAATAACTTCATAACTGTTATAGGAGGTATGTAATTCATGATTCATCTGTTATGGTTAGGACCTAATCGAAACGCGATTTCCTACTTTATATTGCATTACCTATATAAAGCTGCGTTTCTTTTCTTCCACAAGAAAGTTTTATTTCAAAATGACATAGTTTAAGTTACTATAGTAAACAAAAGGATTGATGTATATTTTGTATATAGTCCTTTTTCGCTGGCGACGCATGTGGATTAAAATTAATCTGACGGGCTGATGGTTGTCCATGTGGTGCGATACGAACGAACCTTCCCTGAAATCGTTTCATTGTGATGAATACTCAACATATGAAACATTAGATGACAAACTTTTTGAATGCTTTATCCGAATAGAACAACACTATATGACAATCTTTACAACGACATACCAGCCTAGCGACACACATGTAAATTGTGAGAAATAAAGTGCAGCCTGCTCAAAGTGTTGGGTTCCCTGATTCGATAAATGGTATCAGCGATAAATATGTGCATGAAGATATATTAACTTACCGGTCTTTCCACATCCCTCGGAACCTAACAACGCGATTTTGTAAACATCTCTGCTATCGTTCGGCATGCTTGACTTTTCAATGCGATTTTTGTTTTACGATCTAAGTTCGTATATATATCTGCTTTCCCGTGTTTAAGAATGTGCATGTAATGCGGTAGTGGCGTCAATTATAGAAATATATATGAATTCACTAAATACTAAGTGTTGACTGACGAGCTTAGCGGTGCGTCATTAAAGTTAGGGCGTCATGTATTGTGGGCAGGAAATGATTTGAATTGCCTGACAAAGTATATGCAAAAGGTAACGTCTTTGTTTATTCTGCCGGACATCTTTTTATAACTTCTCATAGCTGCGGGATTTTAATTGCATTCAACAATCGTTAAGAGCACATGCACTTGGTGATGTATATGCCCGTTTATTTGCCGTATTTTCTCTACAGTTTGTGATGGAACCAACATGCATGCACTTATATATGCTATATACAAAGAAATAGTTTCGCGTTTTTAACTTTTAAGTTGTGTTTCAGGCATGCAGTTGTTCATTAGTTGAATAATTTTTTGCTTCATGCATATAGGTCATACATTGTGTCCTTATATACCCATCTCGTGCACGTCACTACCAATTGAATATTGGTTTGAATGATGTAAACATGAGAAAAGTGCGCAATTTACCACACGCGGTTAAAAAAGTGAGCAATTATATGCCACGCCTCATATATCTGTTAAAGAATTGTGTAGAAATTATACGTTCGGTGATCACCAGATGTTTATGCTTTGTATTTTCGCGGACGCGGATTTTTACGGACAAATACATTTAGCGAACTTGGGTACGACTTCCTTGACCTTATCTGATAGATGTCAACAAGAAATGCAACATCAATATAATAGATATCTAACTATATTCATACATGGTCTTACATTTTTATCAAAGAACATTTTGTGGAAAATCACTTTCATTTACATTTTGACGACATTTGTGCAAATAAGTAGCATAAATGCGCTTAGTACCAAAGCTTATAAGCTATTTCCTAAACGGATTTCTCAATAAGTCATTTCTGCATAGGTCTCCGGTAACTCCCAATGAAAGACATACCAAACGAGCCATGTTGTTCGCGGTAAATTGGCGAAAAGGAATAATACTTTATTTACGGTGGTCTATATTTTGTGTGGCGTATAAGATTACATTGATCTATAAAAGTTTAATAAATGAATCGTTTCACGTTGTTTCCAATTAACTTATATTTGCATTAATTTTTAGAAGGTTAAAGGTCTGCAATTTTCGTATGCTTTGCATGGCTTTAAAAATTAAAAAATGAATTGTGATCGCATTAATATTCTTGCCCCATAATAACGTTAATGCTTAGAAAATATTCACATGAGGTCAGAGAAAATTTTTCATCTTCCGAACGATGAAACAATGTTAAACGATGAAACAATGTCTACTCGATCAACAGGAGAAATTCTCGTCAAAGGCGAAGGTAGTTCATCTTGAGTGGTAAACCGATGGTTTTAACTAGTGCATTGTCAATGAGACGAAGTACTTTTGCTTTGCCCAGCTCCGTCCAGACAGATTACTCCAATCCACAGGATGTACAAAAACTCGCAACCTGGAATTCCCATACTATTAATATAATGCGCTGGCCTGATATAGTTTTATTTTAGACATGACCGAACATGGATTATAACGAGTAGCGCTAAGTAGCGAAGTATATATCTTGCTTTTTTGCGTTCCATCGGCCGTGCTCCAGACATTAAATTAACCTAGACTAGTTTTGGAAGGTCTTTACGTTTTTGACGCACCCTGTTGGCAACATGTAGCTAGGATATCCGCGCTTACACTAACCCTATAAAGGCCTGTACTATAGCCAGGTGTGAACTATTAACTTTCCCAAGTGAATGTCCTTCGGATAAGCTTGCCTTATTTTAAAGTCTTTGAAAGTCTTAACCTGTTCTGATTGGCCTACAGTTCCTAGCCGGAGTCCTTTTGCATTACAAAAATGAAAAATCTATAGTTGGAAGCTAGGTCTACAATCCGAATCATGGCCAAAAGTTTCAGGAACGTAAGCTAATTAGCAGAAAAGGCGCGTCAACTGTAATATTTTTAAAAATGTAACCAAAACTAAACTCCCCCCGGACCGCCTATCCAATGTTGCATGATCCTAAGGATTATAAATGAGCTGTAAAAAATCCCGAACAACATTGATCGGGGGGGGGGGAGCAGGCGGGTTATTATTCAAATTAATGATTAATATATAAAATCACACTTTCCGTCCCAATACATTTGGCAATGATTGTAGCTCATTCATAAAATCAGTAATTGTGAAAGTTGCATAATCTCCCACTCGAGTTTACCGATCGAAGAGTAAAACAAATTTATGCCCGGATACTTCTAATATGTAAGTTGTATAATACAACTTAATACAACTTGTATTTTTTATCGCTTGATAAGGAAAATCAATTCAATTTTTCGTATCTATGATTAAGAAACATGCATGACTAGTTGCACAAGTATTTACCAGTGTTTACAATCTAAATTTTTGTGTTTACCCGGCTATGGCCAGTGACCTGCATGACATGCATTGTATTCAGCCATTGTATTCAGGCAACGAATTTTCTCTCAGTTCATTAAAAACCCTAATTTAATGCATGAGAGTCTTTCAACAGAAGTATTTGTAAACGTCACGCTATAAATACGGTATTATAACATCCCGCGTAATTCCAACATGATGTTTCGCCAAACAAGATTAACGATGAATTGGAAATGCGAAATAATGTTGAACTGATTTTACGTGCAGTTATGCATTTAGTACGTATTGCCGTACGAGGCTGTTTCCACAGGCGCTATTTTTGAAGAATTGTACCCGTGTGTTTCAAATTTACCAGCAATCGTGCAATTTTTTCTGAATTACGCTCCCAAATTAGAAGAAACAGGGGAAATATTTCACAATTTCACATATTTGACGTCGTCTGGTGTGAAGTTTGAAGCAATGTTCTGAAATTTTTTAAATTAATAATTATTCACGAATGTTGAGAAATTAGAGTCCGCAATCCTAAATCTCAACGCAATATGGTCGAATGAGTCCTAATACGATTTATCTCTTGTCTTCTTAATTACAGCTGAGACAAGATTAATAGCATTAATCTGGAAAATATTTATTTTAACATCAATATATTTCTTGCTAGGTTTGTGTGTAAGCCTATGTCTGTGTTTGAAGGTGACAACAATGTTTTAGTTTTGTGGCCGAGTGGCCGTGTGACCGTAAATATCACTAGTGAATTATTGAAAGAGAATCTGTCTTTTAGACGTAATATACAAAATACCTTACTTGGTGAGACAGGATAAAAGCCAAATTGGCGGGGCATATTTATTTACGTTCATGTTATGCTCGACTAAATTATTTTAAATACCTATATGCATTGTTCGTACAGGTTTGCATGCATGTGCACATAAATAAATAGATGAATATGCATGCCCCTCCTGGTATGTGTTACCGTGTTTGCTTTCAGAACGAATAACACTATATTTTCAATTTAGTGACAGACTATAAAAAACTGGACCAACTTAACGTCATGCAGTGTCACGTGTGGTGAAGGAGTTGAATTATGGAGGCGGAATTATGATAATCCACTGGGAAGGTACGGGAAGAATTCTAAACAAGGGATTTTTCGACTAAATGGATTATATGAGAAGGGACCTTGTCCAGGTATTGCGTAAGTACTTTTTATTGTGAGCTCTATTTTTTCCTTTAGTAAGATGTGCCAGCTGGTGCCAGTCACTGGTACCAGGCTTCCATCATATTTTTTCCATAAAATAAACAATTATTGGATGAGGTTTTTGTGATATGCAGAGTTATAACTCTGAATATCACAAAAACCGAATTCAATGATTGTTTTTATTATACATTTGAAGAATAGTAAACATAGTATTAACGAATGAAAAACCTTATTTAATAGCAACATCCAAAAATACATCAATTATTAATACATAAATACATTCAAATGAATACCGCTTGTTAATCACCGCAGGCTCACTTGCAGATAACTCAGTTGTCTGCTAGCAGATGGTTGGCGTTAGATCATATCGAACTAACGTACATGACGTCATAAATATTGCAATAACGGAAGTATAATAACAGAAGTCTGACATGAAGTCTTTCTAGAGCTGGTTCATAAAAATGATAAAATAAAAATGGCGATGAATGATGATACATTTATACATTTATAAATGTACACGAAAGTGTAAATGTCTGTTACCCTCATACCCAGTATAGGAGTGATCATATACTTATGTAATAGTATCTCTAGCTTTACCTTAATTACGGTTAGGGTTAGGGTTATTGCAAATTTTATGACGTCATGTACGTTAGTTCGATATGATCTAACGCCGACCCTAGCAGATGACTGAATTTTGCGTGATTGCGCAATTTATCTGTCAACTATTAGCCAATCAAATTGCTTTTACTACTATAATGTATAATAATAACGAATACCAGGTTCAATTCTGAATAAAAACCCTTGAATATAAACACTTGAAATTTCTGAAAGATAAGATTTACCCACATTTTCAACATATCACTACTGGGTTGATTGTCCGATTATCCGGATTATAGATAGCAGCCGCGTAACAAAGCTAGCACGCGATTAAGACAAAAGAAATCGGCGTTCTAAGTGCTCGATACCGAGATAAGAATCTTTCGTCGATAGAACCAGTTTGACATGAATATCGGAATGGCTTTTGGATATTAACCGTTTGATACAGTTGCAAAACAATACTAAAAAACATTTCTTGTGAAATGTTAACACGTCTGCTTAATGAAGGCCATTCCTAAATTTAATAGAGGTCTTCTTTATTGCGTTGAAATAATGACATAGCAAAATTACCCTGACTTCAACATATGACTTTTTAATGAAGAATGGCGGCTTTATTTGTTACCGCGTAATGAACTTTCGAATGTATTATAATTATTTATATTTGAATACGAAAGTAAAATCACCTGCCATCTGTCCCGAGGGAACGTTTTAAATACTCTTTGGGAAATTGAAATTTCTATAGCCTATAAATCCCAATAAACAATGGCTTCGACAGAATATATTGTCTATATATTTTTTTATATTTTTGTCATCGTCTTTGGGATATTGGGGAATATCTTT